AAACTCTTAACCTAAAAAGGTGTCACTGGGACTGCACATCACAAAAGTTCATGACTGTGGTGTCTCTGTGTTCTAACACCTAATTTGTTAAAAGAACACAGTCTAGCACAGACTTTATCAAATATTAAATAAGTCAATGAACTTTTGTGGGAAGTCCCGGTGTGGTTTCTCTCAGTTCACACCTGGGTGGATAAAAGTCGTCTGCCGCTATCATTAGAAGAGTGAGTCCATTACAGTTCTGTCGTTCACCTGTGTGCACACATGGATGGTAGAGAGTGTGCAGGTGCTGGCTTTGTGTCCCGTGAGCACTGTGAGGGCTGTGGACTTACGGCTCTTCTCTGTCTCCTCCTCTTCCCTCTCTCCCTCTCCGGGAACTCTAGGGAGGCAGAAGTCACAGCCCACCCCTCTCGCATTCCCTCCAGGCCATGGCGCTGAGCTTGGCTTGTGGGGCATGCTCAGGAAACAGGAGTTAAATGCGTCAACAGAGGACATTAGGCGGGCGGGACTGGGCAGCTGTCCCCCACGCCGGCAAGGGTGCACCCTGCTCCGCCTGGTCTCCCGGGTGCTCCAAGGCTGCAGGCTTCAGTAAGCTGGCTCTGTCAGGAGCGCGTCCTGAGCCAGGGAAGCTGGAGGGTGTCCCGACCAGTGCTCCTGCGCCTCCTGCCCTGCGCCTCCTGAAGTCCTGGTGCAGACCTCACGCCATCCCAGCGAGCCTGCCCCTGACTCAACTCGTCCTTCTAAGTGCCTCTGTCATGCCTCGTGGGCCTCCCGCTGCAGGGGAGTGTCGCCTTGGACGAGAATCATTCCAGGAGTCCTGAGTCCTGATGAAACAGGAAAGGCACAGCGCGAGCCCGAGCTGCCTCCTGCTTGCTCAGGGGTTTCTGCAGAGGCGCTAGGAAAGCCTGCTGCTCCCACCCCCGCCACGCGTGCACCCCTCACGCTCGTCAGAGGCCCGTGGTCCCTTCCGGACCCAGGACAGAGGGGTGCCCCGCCCTGCAGAGGCCTGCAAGCCCACTCCTCTGTGGCCGGCCCTGCCTCCCCTGGGGGAGCGCCTGCGGATCCTTCCTGAGACGCTGGGACCAACAGGGCTCTGCTCATCGGGAGGGACCTGCAGCCGAGCTGCGTTTGGAACCGTCTACCATTCCCGATTCTGAGGGATTCTGGATCACTATCACCATAAAGACCATTAAGTGGGTTGGGGACCTTTGCTTTAGGGGTTAGCTTCAGCTTGCCTCTCCTTCCTGCCTGTGACCTTGGCTCTCCTTGTGAACAGGATGGACAGTGTGGTCTGAAGCTGCTGCCCTTGGCTCTGGGCCCAGCGAGGTCGGAAGCAGCGCATCCTCAGCAGAGCTCACCTGGGCCACGCTGTGGCCACGGCCCTCTACAGGCCTCTGTCTCAGAAGTCGTGAGCTGGCTGCCAACTCAGGCTGAAATCAACCAGAACTGTCAATCCAGGAAACAGGGCTGTGACCGTGAGCTAGGGCAAAGACCTGGCGGAGTTTGCTTCCTGGTGGGGGATAGAACACCTGGCTCCTGACCCTGCAGAGAAGACGGGAAATGCCGGGTGGGCGAGGGCACCGAGAAGGGAGCACTCTCAGCAGAGCTCAGCTCCAGGGCAGCCCTGAGCCGGGAGGGCCAGCCGGCCACCCCAGCCTCCCAGGCAGGCGAGGGGCCCTGCAGCACTGCCGACTCAGAGCTGCCCCATGTACAGCCCAGGGTCAGAGCACAGCCTCGCACTGAGGAATTCTAGCCTCACTGGGCTGAGCTCGGAATAACAGCAGACTTGCATACCTCTGTCATTTTTTTTTCCTTAAAGTATTTTGATTCTGAAGGGAAAAGAAGAAATTGAGGCAAAATCTGATTTATGTATATTTTTTTAAAAACTCAAGAAATCTTGAAAAAGATTCCATATTTCCTGAAGCCCTAGGAGAATGAGCCACCTCACTGTGCCCTTCATCCTGGACCTGGGCAAACCTGTCCACCGCCCAGTCTGCCCCTCCAGGTTTATTTCATCATAAAAGGGACATCGGCCAGCAGGAGCGTGTTTGCTCCACACAGCTAATTGGAATTTGTTTTTAATGGTAAATGAAATGACTGCAACGGCTGTGAAATTGATTTGTACTGCACGGCATGATCAGTTTAGTGAAAAATAAATTCTCTTAAAGGTTTGAATTCCAGGAATCCTCATGGGAGGGGAGTCAGTTTTATGCCCCCAGGCTCCCCCGCGGCCTGGCGGTTGCTCTGCCCAGCACACAGCGGGCGGCTGCAGCACGCCCTGAACCAGTCCCCAGAGGTGGCCTCATGGAGGGCCACCGCGAGGCCTGCACTGTGGTGGAAAACTGAGGCCTGTGTGTAGAGACGGTTTTCTTCGTGGCCATTGGTACCTTTGAAGGCGTAGAGTAGGAAGACAGGCTGACATGCTGGCTTGGGGAGAAGGGGCGCCGTGCATGCAGCTACACTTGACCACCTTGTCAACTCAGTCCCCGGTGCTGCTGGTCGGCCTCGGTGTGGGTCTACGGAGATGGGTGACACTGACCTCTGCGTGGAACACCTCGGGCTCTGTTGTGCCCAGCGCCCAGTCTGACAGGCATTCATGTCCTTTAGGCCAACCATTTGCCAGGGCACAGGCTTCTGGTCCATGGGACTGGTGGTCCTGAGGACAGGACAGTAGGTGTGCTGATTGTTGGGCACCAAGGAGCACGGGAGGAATCGACAACATCCTAGCTCACTGTGGGATGGAGGAATTGATGTGTGAGGTTTGTCCATTGTTGGTTACATTTTGGGAATTCTGAATATTTTTATAAGAAACTCTGGAGACTGTTGAGATTCTCTCTAGAGAACATTAGTGATTTTGTTTTCTTGTTTAACAAGCAACCAACCCATTCCCAGCCTCTGCTGTGGTGTTCAGGTCCCCCTGGGCGTGCACCAACCACCACCTCCGTCTGGCCCCCGCGGGTTCCACGCTCCTTGCAGCCTCTGCACCCTCGGGATGCAGGTCAGACCCAAGGATGCAGAGCCGATGACCTGGAGCTTGGTCTATGGTCTTGGGGCCCTTCCTCCAGACCCCTCCCCATGACGTCCCTCCTACTCTCTGGACGCTCATTTCTCTGGTTAAGTCTAGGATTTTGCTTTTGTACGTGATCACACACTGTCTTACGAGGTCAGGTCTCCCTCCTGCCAGAGGCATTTTCACAGCTGCCGTCTCACCTCAGGGAGAGGAGCTTCCACAGTCCAGGGCTGTCTTGCCCAGTCTCCTGGGAACACTCTCCCTTTCTGCACCAGTCTGCACAAAGGGACAGGGGAAAGGCCTGGGTCACCTGGCCCAAGGTCCTCCCCACCTCCCTGACCCCGTAGACCTCAGACGGCCCTTGGCAGGCCTCCTAACTTCCACGTGCACACATACGTGTGTGTTTGTGATGTGTGTGTTTGTGATGTGTGTGTGTGATACGTGTGTGTGTGATGTGTGTGTGTGATGTGTGTGTGTGATGTGTGTGTGTGATGTGTGTGTGTAATGTGTGTGTGATATATGTGTGTGTGTGATGTGTGTGTGATACGTGTATGTGATGTGTGTGTGTGATGTGTGTGTAATGTGTGTGTGATATATGTGTGTGTGTGATGCATGTGTGATACGTGTGTGTGATATGTGTGTGTGATACCTGTGTGTGTGATGTGTGTGTGATGTGTGTGTGTAATGTGTGTGTGATATATGTGTGTGTGTGATGCGTGTGTGATACGTGTGTGTGATACGTGTGTGTGATACCTGTGTGTGTGATGTGTGTGTGTAATGTGTGTGTGTGATGTGTGTGTGTGATGTGTGTGTGTGATACCTGTGTGTGTGATGTGTGTGTGATGTGTGTGTGTAATGTGTGTGTGATATATGTGTGTGTGTGATGCGTGTGTGATACGTGTGTGTGATACGTGTGTGTGATACCTGTGTGTGTGATGTGTGTGTGTAATGTGTGTGTGTGATGTGTGTGTGTGATGTGTGTGTGTGATGTGTGTGTGTAATGTGTGTGTGTGATATATGTGTGTGTGATGTGTGTGTGATATGTGTGTGTGATACGTGTGTGTGATGTGTGTGTGTGATGTGTGTGTGTGATGTGTGTGTGATGTGTGTGTGTAATGTGTGTGTGTGATACATGTGTGTGTGTGATGTGTGTGTGTGTGTGTGTGTGTGTTAGATGGTCAGCTTTTGCAGAGGCCAGGTGTTCCTGAGTGTCATAAACAAAGCGTGACGTGGAGTGGGTGGCTGTTGTGGAGTTCCTCAGGTCACACCAGCTAATGGCAGGAGCAGTCTGGTCAAGTTTGCTGTTTTCTGCACTTCATGCTAGTTTAACTTTATGTTAGTTTTCTTTGAGCATCAATACTGCTTTACACTGTGTACGATCTTGCAGGCAAAAGCAATTCAGTGTTTAGTATCAAGATATTAAAGTGAATAACAATGCTCAAAGCCCATAAAATTCCTTAAAACTTAGGACATATGTATAAAAGATGACAGGAGTATGTGGCTGATTTATGGAGGCAGTTTGGGAATATGACAAGTTTTAAAATATTTCGTTGGGCAGCTCCAGCTACATTTCTGAGATGTACATGCAGACGACTCGGCTTAGTTCTAAATACCGCAGGTGGCAGATGTTGCCCTGGATGCTGCAGCCGAGTTTCCACGGAACTTTCCAGCTCTTTCCTAAGTGAATTTTCCATCTTCCCTAATTGCTTCTGGGAATGTGCCTCCCCATGGGGGGTAGGCCATTGCTTTGTCTAGACAATTCTTTCCTTTGCAATTAAGGTGCAGCTTCTGGTAGGGCTGGGGTGGGCTGGCCTGGGGTCCACACCACCTGACTCTCTAGCAGCTGCGTCCTACCTCACAGGTGCAGCCCCCCGCCCTCTGCTTCCTGGAGCCCCCCACCTCCCCTTGCCTGGTGAGTCCTGGTGCACAGCCATCCCCCAGCCCCTGCTCCCCCCACAAGAGGCCCGGGGCTCCTCCCAGGGCCTCAGCCGCAGCTGCTCCTGGCCACCCCGTAGGCCCGTGACACAGGACCTGGACACGCCCGTGAGTCACCAGGTCTAGGCTGGTGCCCCCACTCCCAAGACACGGGCAGCCTCCTCACGAGGTCCTGTGCTCAGGTTTCCTTTGGCAACATCCAGGAATGTGGATTGTGACCTTGGATCTCTCAAGTGGACAGGCTCTCCCTGGACTCTGACTTCGGAGCACAGAGAGGATATGGTTTACATCCTTCATTTTGAGGGTACCCCTCTGGAGTTGTCTTTCTTGTTTGCTGTGATTTTCTTCCTGTGGTCTCTAATTCATAGAGGTCTCCAGCTTTCTTAATTCTTGAACAATCAGTTCTCTGAGATCTGATATTTTTTAAATAATAAGTCTTTTTCCTCTTTTTCCCCAACCAAAGTAAGCTGCCAATCACTTTTTTTGCATAACTATATGGTTTTTGAGTTAATAGCAGTCCCCAAACTTGTTCAGGCCGTGACATACACAAAACGATAGTATTTCTGGCAGCATCATTCAGTTGGCGGGTGAGTTTGCTGGTGGACGGAGCTTCCGTGGAGGGAGCTCTGCTGCTCGGTGCTCTGTTTGAGGGCCTTGTCAGGTGAGAGCAATCCCCAACCTGGCGCACCTACACACGACTTCAGGTTCACTGTGTGTGATTCAGGTTTCCTGACTTAAGCTACAGCTGCTTAACACTTCACTCAGACATGGTTTCTCTGCAAGTGAACATTGTGATCTTTAAGGATGGAGACTATGAATTGCCCAAATCTGGATTTGTCATTATTCTGATAAATTATTGAATGAGGAGATATTTTCATTATAAACAAGACCCCTCGTCTGCTCATGACAGAATTAAAAAGTATACAAACCTTTGTCATTGAAATGAGTCGTAAGTTAGATTCAAAAGTGGCAAAGTGAAATTTGACTCCCTGGAAACACAGCATTCACTGCCTTATGTATTCAACAATCTGTGCTGAATGTCGACCCCATTTCACAGGCTACTTTAGCCTGAAAGAGACAAAGTCGTCACTTCTCGGCTTTCTGGGAACTCATGGTGGCTCACTCACATAACCAGATGCTCAAGGAACAGGCGAGGAACAAGTCCTGGGACCCAACCCGCAGGTGCGTGGTCACTGGGGCCTGGCTGCAGGGCACGCCCTCCTAGCGTGGGCACACCTGCCACCCCTGGCCATAAGAGCTGTTGTGGGACCGAGACGAGGAGAGAGGAGGCGACAACATGGACGGCTGCGCAGAGCAGTGGTCACAGTGGAGACCACAGGCTCCACAGGAGGAAGGAGGAAGTGGGGTTCCTGAGAGCAGGGGACCACCCTCCCACAGCACAACCAGGAGGGAGAAGGCCCGGGGGACACGCTCAGGGGGGCAGCAGCAATACTGCGGGTGTCCAGAAGAACAATTCCAAACCTCAGGGGAGTTTTGAAGCAGGGAGCTAGGGGAGGGGACGCCTAGGGGGAAGTGGGTCCTGAGGGGAGGACGCATTCACGACTGCTGTGACTCTCTTGGGTGGCCTGCCTCTGACAAGCTCCACTGGACACTCCAGACCCAGGAGATGGCTCTGTGTCAGTCATGCCCCCTCAATCTACCTGTTAAAGCACAGTGGGGTACAAGAGGCTCTGTTGGAACAGTGACTAATAAAGTCTGTGGAAATCGATGTGAATGTTGAGAGGGAGGCTTGAGGGACTTCAGAGTAGGGAGGGTAGATGGCCACCCTGCGGGGAAGGCCACTCCTCCACAGGAGACAAGCCAGCTGAGAGTGCTCTACTCTACATCAGCTCGCCTGTCACTGGACGCTCAAGGGGATCCAGTTTTTCTCTCCACCTCATGCAATACGGTCGGCAGTTGTCCTGGCAGACTGGACGGGAGCTGGCCCCCCGGTTCCCAAGGCCACGCACCTGCCCAAGATGGAGTCCGCTTTCCTCCTACCCTGCTCCAGGCAGCCTGCAGTGACGCTCTCTGACACGTCCTGTCCGAGGTGCTCACTCCACCAACTGCTAAAAAATAGGGCATGGAAAGGGCTTCTGTTCACATGTGACTGAAGGGTACGTGTCGCAGAGATTTTGAATTTTGTTTGCTTTTACTGATCATCTTCCAAAGGTCAAAGGGTAGAGTGCACCATTTCACCCCACATATTTGGTTGCCCACAGTTTGCTTTGGCCTCATGAACGTGAAGCCCATCGAACACACTTCCATGGTCACGGAGCCACACCTGAGGATGTGCCACCACAAGAGAGGGGGTCAGCAGAAGCAGAAGCGTGAGAGGGCAGGCCACCACAGCACAGTCTCCACCCCCAAGACCGCCCTTGAAGCCACAAATCTCTTCCTTCAGGAGTTAAGTCTGGAGAAAGTTTCCGTTCATCCCCCGATTTCCACGAGCACACCCCGTCTGTCAAAGGGCGGCCCCGCGTCAACCAGACAGACATGCTCCCTGCTCCGAGGGTCCCTGTGGAGCATTTCAGATGGTAAAACTGACAGAAGAGGTTTCTGTTGCTGAATAGAGGGCCAGAGTGACCTCCTTCATCAAGATGGACAAGACAACACCCGCATAACTGAATTTTGAGGAAATTGACTAAGGGGTAGCCCTGGAACTCAGCAAGGGCATGACGGAGCCCTGCACAGCGCGGGAACTGGGATGGCTGCATGGAGAGAGGAACAAAGTGTCTCACAGCTGGGACCCCAGGTCCCCAAACAGGATCTGCTCAAAGCCAAGCGAAACTCCCCAGTGAGAAAGGGTAAGAGCTACAAAGGCCCCGATCACCACTACAGGCACCTGCAGTCCCAGCCACAGGAAAGACACACGGCCTGGTGGCTTCGACTTCAGCCAGGAGCTTTCCACAGCTAATATGGCTCCTGAGGTAGAACCTCCCACAGCCCACACCCCCAGAACCCCTATCGCCACCCCTGGAGGACCTACTGTAGTTGGTAATGAGTGCCCTTCCCCTGGGGCTGAGGTCACACACTTGTGGCACCCACACTTGCTGCAAAGTTGCATCACTACCTCCAAATATCTAGAGTCTAGACCCCCGAGACACTCACGGACACCACCAATGTCATCTGCAGCTGAAGAAGTCCCAGAGTGGCTCATTTGTGTGCCCACTCAGAAACAAAGCCACGGCACTCTACCTAGTTGACACCCCACACCTCAGGAAAACAGTCTGTCCCTACAAGAGCTATTTCGTGAAACTAGAGGAGGCAGCTGTTATACCAGACGTACAAGCATCAACAAGGGACATAAGAAGCAAGAAAGAGCAAGAAAGCACAGAACCTCCAAAGGAACACAATGATTCTGCAGAAATAGACCCCAGAGTAAAGAGAAACCCCGAAATGTTTGAAAATGGATTCAAGATAATGATCTTAAGAAACTCAAGGAAATTCAGGAAAATACCATTAGGCAACTTAGCTAGATGAAGAAAAAATTCTGATCTGAATGAGAAATTCAACATAGCTATAAATCATAAAAAATAACCAAGCACAAATCCTGGAGCTAAGAATCCAACAAAGAGGTTTAGAAACAGACTAGACCAAGCAGAGGAAAGAATGTCTGAACTTGATGACAAGCCTTCTGAAATTGCTCAGTCAGAATTTTTTTTTTTAAATTAAGAAAAAACAAGAAAGAAATCCTACAAGATTTATGGAACCTCAGTAGGTAAACAACTTTTTGAATTATGGGAATTCCAAGTGGAGTAAAGATGGAAAAAGGCACTGAAAACCCATTTAACAAAATAATGGCTGAAATCTTGCCAAACCTTAAAAAAGATGTGAACATCCAGATCCAGGGAGCTCAAAGACCAGAGACTCAATCAAGAGCGTCCTCTTCACGCACATCAGAGTCAAACTGTCAAGAGACAAAGACTAAAGAAAATTCTAAAAACATCAGGAGAAAAGTATCGAGTTACATAGAAGGTAACTGTGCTCCCACGGAGTCCCACAGACCACGGCAGAGTTCCAGCCGAGACTGGAAGGCACGAGATGAAATGTTCAAGGTCGGAAACGAAAAAGAAAAACTGCTGACCAAGAATACTACACCCAGTAAAGCTCTCCTTCACCAATAAAAGAAAAATGATATCATTCTCAGAAAAACCAGCCCTGAGGGAAGTCTTCACCGCTCGGGGAAGGAAGGAAGGAAGTAGTGGCCCTCATGGAAACTCAGTGAAACTCCCTGGTGGCCAAGAGACTCACAGTCCTTATCAGTGCCGGAACCCCGAGTCACAAAGAGAGAAAAATAGGAAAGGAGAAAAGGAATGAAGAAGCAAGTAAGTAACAAGTGGCAGGAGTAAGTTCTTGGCTACTAATCATCACCTTGAACATAAGCATATTGAATTTCTGAATCAAAATCAGTAGACTAGACAAATGGATTAAAACGAGCAGGAGCCAACTATGTGCTGCCTACAAGAAAAACCCACTTCCCTGGTAGAGACACACGTAGATTGAACGTGGAGGGACAGACAAGATATTCCACTCAGATGGACATCAGCGGTGAGTAGTCATATCAGGTAAAATAGACTTTAAGTCAGAATCTGTGAAGAGAGGAAAGAAGACCAACCTGTCATGATAAAGAGGTCAACTCACCAAATGGTTATGATAATCATAAATACATATCCAATCAATGCACAAACCAAATATTATATCCAAAGGGAGAAATGGGTGCCGATACAGTAATAGTTGGAGACGTCAGCAGTCCATTTTCAAGAGTAGATCATGAAGAAACATCAGAGTTACACCACACCATGGACCAGATGACCTAGTAGGTATCAGCAGAGCTGCACAATGCACACAGTGTTTGGAGGGCTCTCCAGTATAGACCAATGTGAGGCCACAAAACAAGTATTAGTAAATACAACGTCATGTAAGCTATCTTCTCGGACTGGCAGAATAAGCCTAGAACACAGTAGGAATAACTGTAGAGTAACAAGTCCAGGAAAATCAGATCACACGCTCCCAGACTACAAAAGGGCAACAGAGAAACTCAGAGAATCTGAAGGCGTACTAAGAAGGGGCTTCATAGCAGCAAAATAGTCAATAAGCATCACACACCACACTTACAGCAAAAAGGAGACGGAATTCAAATAAACAACCTCATCAAGAGCTGTAAAGACAGAAATAAGCTGGAAGACAGTCGTGCCTGCAGTTCCAGAGACGGGGGATTTCAGGAGGAGGGCGAGTTTAAAACCAGCTCCACAATTCAGTGAGGCCCTGAGAGACTGAGTGAGACCCCATCTCAAAAGAGATAAAAAGGGCTGAGAATGTGTCTCAGTGGTCAAGTGCCCCTTATCATTTTAGAGAGAGAGAGAGAGAGAGAGAGAGAGAGAGAGAGAGAGGGGTAAGAATGAACCAAACACAAAATTACTAGAAGGAAAGAAATATAAAGATCAGAGTAGCAATAAATAAATTTGAAACTAAAACAATTTCAAAATTTTGAAATAAAAAGTTGGATTTTTAAAAAGATAAATCAACAAGGCTGTTGCTTGACTAAGAATAAAGCAGAAGCTTCAGCTGATAACGTTGAGAAAGGTGATGTTATAACTAATACCACAAAAATTCACAAGATCATACAACTACTACCTCCAATCAAAGAAAGTCTGAGACCTGATAGTTTCACTGTTAAATTCTTCACCACAGATAATATTAATTACACAATATTAACCTCACAAGAGTATTGATTCTTCTAAAACGGTTACAATAAAATCGATAAGGAGGTAACTTTGCTGAACTCTCGCTACAAGACCAGCATCACCATGTCGCAAAACCAGACAAAGCCAAGGCCCGAACCAGGCGATGGAAAAGAAAATGACAGACCAATATCCCTCCTGAACCCAGATGCAAAGTTTCCCAACAGAATCTTGCAAACTGAATCTAACTGTGCATCAAAATTGTTATACCTAGGTCAAGTGGCATCCAGGGAGGCAAGCGCGGTAACACACCCAGTCAGGAAGCATCACGCACCACAGCAGCGGCATGAAGGACAGGACCAGGGGTCATCCCAACAGGCACAAAACATTTTTCTAAGCAGCTGAGCAAGACTCGGTCTTAAAAAACGGGGGAGGGGGTGCTGGGGGATGTGGCTTGGTGATTGAGCACCCCTGGGTTCAACGAACCCCTGGTGCAAAAAACAATTGAGAACTTTCAACATCACCCTGTGATGAAACCTGTTGATGCACCAGGTGTGGAGGGGACATGCCTGAGCACAGGAAAGGCTGTCCCCAGCAGGCCCACGGCAGAGTCACAGAGCTCCAGGTGACCTGAAGCAAGACAGTGATGTCCACTTCCATCACTATTTTCAAAATAATACTGCAAATCAGCCAGAAGGATTAGGCAAGAGGAAGGAATTAAGGACACCCAACTTGGAAGGTGAGAGGCTGGTTATCTCTGTGGGAAGGTAACGTGATCTACACAGAGAAAAATCCGCAGACTCCACGGTAACCTGTGAAGCCTGGGAAACAAATCCAACAAAGTTGCGGAATAAAAATGATCCACACAAAGACAACAGCAATATCTTATTCACCAATAATGACCTTGCTGAAAAGTACTTACGAAAAATCGTGTTCACAATAGCTACAAAAACGTAGACTACCTAGGAATAGATTTAACAAAGGAGGTGAGAGAGCTCTGTTATTAAAAGAAATTGAAGAAGGGACACACGTGCTTGTGCGCGCACACACACACACACACACAAATGGAGAGATATCTCGTGTTCATGGATTAGAATAATCAATATTAAAATCTCCCCACTACCTGAAGTGATTCACAGAGTCAATGGAATCACTCTCAAAATGCCAATGACATTATTGACAGAAAGAGAGAAATCATCATAAAATGTATCTAGAACTAAAAAAGACCCCGAGTAGCCAAAGTGATCCTGAGCAAAAAGACGAAACTGGAGGTCTCCCCGCGGCTGACTCCGAAGCACACCGCAAAGCCATGCTGATGCGAACAGCGTGCGTGACATCAGAGTGGACATAGGCCAAGGAGCCTACTGTAAAGCCCAGAGAGTCAACCGTGTTCTCACAGGCAGATGATT